AATGAATGGAATGGCGATAAGATACAAGTTATTCTTCTTCCTAACATTCAATCCCTTACATTCAGTCATATCAAGCTCTTCTAATAACTTCGTCTCATTGCGATTGCCATTTGCATTGGGGAGTTTCCAGTCAAAGTGGTAAAGCAAATGAGAAAGTGCAAGTTCAATACTTGCGGTTGCAAATGATATGCCTGGACACATTCTCCTGCCACCCCCAAATGGAACCAATTCGAAGTTGGTCCCTCGAAAATCAATGGAAGAGCCTTGGAATCTCTCCGGCAGAAAACAATCAGCATTCTCCCAATACTTGGGGTCTCTCCCAATTCCCCAAGCATTGATGAAGACTGTTGCTTCAGTTGGTATATCATACCCACCAATAGTGCATTTTTCGCTTGCTTGTCTGGGGATGAAAGGAGGAGGGTGTAATCGTAGAGTTTCTCGTATGACCAACTTTAAGTAGTCGAGTTTCTTAATATCTGACTCTTCAATCTTCCCCTTTCTTCCGACAAGTTGGCGTACCTCGGCCTGTGCTTTTTTCATTGCTCTTGGACTTCTCAGAAGTTCAGCCATTGCCCATTCTGTGGTAGTTGCTGAAGTCTCACTTCCAGCAGAAAACATGTCCTATATAAGAAAAGTACTTATTTGTTCACTTAATGCGCTTTTAAAATAACATAATCAACAGATCAATTTTAATCAAGAAAGAACGAAACAAAACAATTAATAAAAGTAAGAGATGTATATATGAAATGGTGCTCATTAATTACCAGGGTGACAGCTTTGATTTGGGTGGTTGTGAGATCAAATTGGAGCTCACGAGATTCCTGGAGCCGCAGTAGCACATCAACTATATCTTCCTGATGGTCGTCTCCGGCAGCAGCTGATTCCTTATTTCTTTTCGCTCTATGATCGCTGATGATTTCATCAAGGATCTTGTCCATTTTCTGGTGTACTTTCTCAATGGCAGGCTTCAAATTTATGACATAACGGAGGAATTTGAGCGAAGGGAACAAATCCGGCACATCAAATTCTGCTCCAAGCCTAACTGTATCCTCGAGCAGTGATAAAAATTCTTGTTGATACTTGCACTTCGTTCCCAAGGCCGCACGGGCAATAATGATGTTCAACATGGAGAAGATCATTTCACTGAGATTGAACGGATGACCCTTTGATAAGGAAATAGATTTAACAAGATTCGATGCCTCTTCTTGTCTTATTGATGCAAATGATTCTACGCGTTTTGCACTAAGGAGCTCCAGCATGCAAATCTTTCGCATTTGTCTCCAAAAATCATTATACGGACAAAGTATGAGATTTGAACAATTATAGCTCACAATTTCACCAGCAAGAAACTTTGGCCGTTGTGAGAAAGCAACATCATGCTTCTTCAACACCTCTTGAACAAATTCCGGCGATGAAATGACTATGGCTGAGAGTTGTCCCAGTTTGAGGTGCATGATAGGGCCATACTTGTTGGCCAAATCTGCCATGCAGCGATGGGGTAAAGAGCTGGCGGCCATTTGATGCAAATTTCCGACGAGAGGCAGCTTCCATGGCCCCGGAGGAAGCCTAACGGTTGTAATACTAGTAGTATGCATCTTCCAATATATAACAAGGATAACTAGGGCGACCAGACAAGTAAATATTATTACAGCAAGGAAAGAAATTTGGATGTCGTGCATTAGCGACATTAGAGAAGCTCTTAGTGCCTAGCTTGATCGAGAAATGTGACTTTAATATTACTAATTATCGGGAATAGACGAAAAACAAGTCATTTCAGAGCAATAACAAAAATATTATTCTTATCATTCATCCAATTTAAGGGCAAGAAAAAACAGGAGGAGCCGAAGGAGAGAAATTCTTTAACTAAGTAGATTATTATAAGTGAAATTTATTTGTTTATTTGACCTTCATGCTCATTAATAATTTCATGGATTTTTATTGTAATACGATCAATGAGCGCAAATTTTATAACCATAATAACAGATTCCAACCTAAAAAACCACAAGTAAACAATTGGAGAAATGTTGGAATCTTTTAGTTACTAATCAGACAAATCGTACCTAATTAATTGTAATCTAATCAATAAGGTTAAGTTAGAATAATCTAATCTAACAAATTGCACCTGATTTAGTCATCTGTTAAAATAAATATTTTAGTTCCCGGTAATGACCGGAGAAGAAGCAGCCACCAAAATTGAAAGTATTGCGTGACAGAATATGGTCGCGTGAGAAAACTACTTCTATACTCTTTCGGTGGAATCAAAAGTAGGTGATTAGTCAGTCCATACAGAAGAAAAGGAAAACAAAAGAGGTGAGTTATCTGTGTTTTCCTTTCTTTAATTGTTTTTGAACAAATTATGAATTGTTAAATTGATCGGTTATCGCATGTGGACGTACATTGGTTAGAGCGGATGTGCTCATTCATATGTAGCCAAGTTCGAATCTCCATTTTGTGCAATTTAGTTAAACCATAACACCCCCTTGGAAAAGAAAAGAAAAATGGAATAGTAATCTAGAATTCGTCGGTTACTAGGCCGCCATGGAGGGTAGGCAGTAGGCTGCTTGGAAATTCGTTGACAATTCCTATTCTCCACCCTTTGCCACCTTGCCCGCCACCAACGATCCTAAAGAATCCTCATCGCGCGGTGGATACTTGATCGACATGTTTGTCAATATATAATCGCTACATGATTGAGGAGTTTGTCAACTGAGATTTGTAAAATGATCATACAAGCCAATTTCCTTAACTGTTGTTTTGGACAACACAACAACACATGAAGACGCAAACACTAGTTAAGACTTTATTATGGTTTGCGTTTGCTAGCTATTTCCAACAACGCATGCGTTTCAATTCATTTCTGATGAAGAAATGAATGGAATGGCGACAAGATGCAAGTTATTCTTCTTCCTAACATTCAATCCCTTACATTCAGTCATGTCAAGCTCTTCTAGTAACTTTGTCTCATTGCCACTGCCATTTGCATTGGGGAGTTTCCAGTCAAAGTGGTAGAGCAGATGAGAAAGTGCGAGTTCAATACTTGCAGTTGCAAATGATATGCCTGGACACATTCTCCTGCCACCCCCAAATGGAACCAATTCGAAGTTGGTCCCTCGAAAATCAATGGAAGAGCCTTGGAATCTCTCCGGCAGAAAACAATCAGCATCCTCCCAATACTTGGGGTCTCTCCCAATTCCCCAAGCATTGATCAAGACTATTGCTTCGGTTGGTATATCATACCCGCCAATAGTGCATTTTTCACGTGCTTGTCTTGGGATTAAAGGAGGAGTATGTAATCGTAGAGTTTCTCTTATGACCAACTTCAAGTAGTCAAGTTTCTTAATGTCTGATTCTTCAATCTTTCCCTTTCCTCCAACAAGTTGGCGTACCTCGGCCTGTGCTTTTTTCATTGCTCTTGGACTTCTCAGAAGTTCAGCCATTGCCCATTCTGTAGTAGTTGCTGAAGTCTCACTTCCAGCAGAAAACATGTCCTATATAAGAAAAGTACTTATTTGTTCACTTAATGCGCTTTGAAACTAACTTAATCAATAGATTAATTTAATCAAGAAAGAAAGAAAGAAAGAATAAAAGTAATTAAAATAAGAGATGTATTACGAAATGGTGCTCATTAATTACCAGGGTGACAGCTTTGATTTGGGTGGTTGTGAGATCAATTTGGAGCTCACCAGACTCCTGGAGCCGCAGTAGCACATCAACTATATCTTCCTGATGGTCATCGCCGGCAGCTGATACCTCATTTCTTTTCACTCTATGATCGTTGATGATTTCATCAAAGATCTTGTCCATTTTCTGGTGTACTTTCTCAACGGCAGGCTTCAAATTTATGGCATAACGGAGGAATTTGAGCGAAGGGAACAAATCCGGAACATCAAATTCTGCTGTAAGCCTAACTGTATCCTGGAGCAGTGATAAAAACTCTTGCTGATACTTGCACTTCTTTCCAAAGGCCGCACGGGCAATAATGACGCTTTGCATGGAGAAGATCATTTCACTGAGATTGAACGGATGACCCTCTGATAAGGAAATAGATTGAACAAGATTCGATGCCTCCTCTTCTCTTATTGATGCAAATGACTCTACGCGTTTTGCACTTAGGAGCTCCAGCACACAAATCTTTCGCATTTGTCTCCAAAAGTCGTTATAAGGAGAGACGATGAAACCTGAAAGATTATAGGACAAAATCTCAACAGCAAGCAACTTTGGCCGTTGTGAGAATGCAACATCATGCGTCTTCAACACCTCTTGAACAAATTCCGGCGATGAAATGACTATGGCTGAGAGTTGTCCCAGTTTGAGGTGCATGATAGGGCCATACTTGTTGGCCAAGTCTGTTATGCAGCGATGGGGTAAAGAACTGGCAGCCATTTGATGCAAGTTTCCGATGAGAGGCAGCTTCCATGGCCCCGGGGGCAGCCTAACAGTTGGAATACTAGTAGTGTGCATCTTCCAACATATAACAAGGATAACTAGGGCGACCAGACAAGTAAATATTATTACAGCAAGGAAAGAAATTTGGATGTTGAGCATTAGCGACATTGGAGAAGCTCTTACCATTTTGATTGAGAAAAAGAGGTATAACAGCAGTGCCTAGCTTGATCAAGAAAAATGACTTAAATACTAGAAAATAGACGAAAAACAATTCATTTCAGAGCAATAATATATCTAGTGAGGTAGCTAATTGTAGAGTATAGAGATTCCAATCAACCATGAGGTCAGGTCAATGCACTGATCGTTGCTTGTGGGATTTAATTAGTAGCTATTCAACTCCAAGATAATGCAACTTGACGATTAAATATGTTGTGCCGATATTTAATTCAAAATTTCTTCTAAGGAATCCTGAGAGAATCAAATCAATGCAACACGCAAAGCCTTTATTATTTTATAATAAAATTGAGAATATAAGAGGTAAAGTAGGAGTTGCCGCAATTGAAGAGAAGATGAAAGAAAATTCGTGGATTAAGAACATGCGCACACAATATCCATTTCATCTGTAAATTGTAATTTTATTGTAAAGGAACACTAATGCTACAGGAGAGAATCAATACAAATAAATCATTCGTTGGTATCACATTAGTTATAAATTATACACCCACTCGCGAGCTCTAACTGGACGTAGGGGACTCGCCAAGAAACTCTGATCTCAACTGCATCAAAAGCCTGCCCAGATAATTTAGGCCTTCTCCATCCCGACCTCCTCCCCAGAAAAGATCATGCGGTGAAGCTTCAACAAGAACAGATCCAGCAGTTGACAGCAACATAGCATTCAAATGTGGATAAATTGAGAACTTGCATTTCAGTGCTCTATACATCACTTCAATCTTGACACTTTCCCAGTCCAACCTTACCTGCATAGCACACAGGACAATTTTGAACCAACTTCAACATAAACCAAAAGTAATTGTGAACATGTCAGTAGCGTTTAATAATCCCAGTTCCAAACAATTTCTATTTCCTTCTACTAATTATTCTTATTGATGCATTATACTAGGCGAGTCAAAAATACATGCGTTCATTCTCTTCAAGAAACCTTAGTCTCTACAAAGGATCCTCCTGTTCTGGACACAGAAATTTTCTGTGTTGTCTTCCAAAAGTGTTACTATGTTATGATGTCACTTACTACCACTGGGACAAACTATCATTTCAACATCTTCCATAAAGGACCATAGCATGGCATATCTTGACTACATCACGTGTCAACACAGTTGATCAACTGAAAATCCAATCAAATGACAAAGTACAATACCAAATCAGGGTGCTTCCTCTGCATTGACCTTCCTATCCGTGCTGCCTCTTCCGGACTTTTGGCAGACTTAATATTTTCAACACAATCTTGTGCCACAGGATCATCCACCCCAACAAACTTCTGAGCCTACATGTTAGCATTGTTCTGTAAGAATGACTACTTTTGTAAGATGGAAACCAGATTCATACAGAAAAGGAAATACCTGATAGTAATGCTCGACACTCAACCAAGTTGCATAATCACCATTGTCATCAGGCATCTTAATTCGGTGAGGTGAAAAATTTGAGAAAGCGCCGTAGGGGTCCCATGTTTTATAGAAGGATATGATCCTTGATTCATAAGGAGTCACAGTTGGATCAATTTCAAATGTTTCATCAACTGATGGAATAACAGGGGTCACATCTGGTATGGGTTGAAGAAATCCACTAACAAGCATATCAGGTCCAACCTGTTGTTCAAATTCAGAAGTACAAAATATCCAATCAAGAGGCAGAATATATATACAAGCACAAAAGAATACATTGTTAGCATACAAGATTAATTAGAAAGAATTTATCTCTAGAAGAAGTACCCAAAATCCCCACCAACCTGCTCATAGCAGACATCAATTAGATCGAAGGCTTGTGTCATTTCAACCATCCCGAGTTCACCCACAGGGGATGGCGCATTCTTTCCACCAATAATTTTAGGAGCAACAAATGCGAACACCTGCAACACATTGAATGTGGCAGAAGCAAAGTCCCTGTTAACAAATCCAGTTTCAACAAAAGAAAGATCCGGGATCTCCAAAAATAAACTGTGGATAAGCTTATGTACCACTCCAGCCTAGAGGAAGCTCCAACTATGACAACATCGCTAAGTCATCAGTTTTAAGCAGACAAAAGAAGAAGATCAACAGTTCATAGAAAGAAATAGGCGCTGGAGAAACAAACCTTATGTATTACTCCAGATGAAATAGCTGCTGCAGCTAATGTCCCTCCACACTCCCACAAAAGTGAAAGATATCCACGATTATGGAAGTATTCCATTACTTCTCTGGGGTTTAAGATATCAAACTCCACCACTTCAATTCCTTTCGATGCAAGAACTTTCTGGAAATGCCTTCTTGCACCCCTTTGTGTTGCAACTATAGTAGATACATCAGAGGTATCCCAAAGGTGTGCTTCCTCAGGGAGATCAAGAGTCTGTGACATTACAATCCGCATAGGCATATGCCCACCACCATGTCTTGCAGTTAGTCTAGGATCTGGTTCAAAAGTAAAAAGATAGAACATAAGAAGTCAGAACTTCAGGATCTCCAACGAGTATTAACACGAACAATCAAAAAGTTGAGAAAATGATAATACTTACTGTCCCTGCGCACTGTATTTCCTCCTACAACGACTGCATCACTTCTACCCCGCAGTTCAAAAACTCGATTTCTAGATGTTCTGCTGCTGATCCATGCTGCATGTCCACTGCTAGCAGCGATTTTTCCTGTCAGCGCCCAACAAATACTAATGACTAGGCTATCGGAAGACTTTATTTGTAAACTTTATAGGCCTCTTTACAGAATTTCATATTGGGATAAGTTACACTATTCATAAAAGAAAGCTTACCATCAAGAGTCATGGCATACTTGAGAACAGAGAAGGGGATTCGAGAAGCAGCTCTACAGATTAACGGAGCATTGACAAGCAGGCATGATTTACGCGCTTCCTGTTGTTGTTGGATCAATTATATGACATGTTAAACTAAAATGCTACTCATTTCACAGAAAAGCTTTTGTCTTGTTTTGGTTAAACTAAAATGATACTCATTTCGCAGAAAAGCTTTCGTCTTGTTTTGGTAAACCACACGTAGTTATTTCAACTGGGAGCACAAGATCCCTACCTAATGCCTATGTTACTCGCCAAGGAATTGAAAAGAAGCGTTTCGCTAAGGTATGAAATGAGCATATTGAATTGATCAAATACCTCAATGAGTTTACTGTTGAGGTCCTCACCAAGAACATCAACTTGCAAGCCTTGACTTCTCAGAGCCCGAATGGCATTCCCTCTTAAATGCTGCAATGGATGCCTCAACCCAATCACCACCCTTTCAATCCCTGCCTAATCCAAACAAATCAGATATTCAATCATTGTTTCTTTTCCTAATCCAAACAAATCATAACTAAATCATAGTTTTCTTTCCCTTATACGACGGCTCAGAGGAAGTTGGGAATTGAAAAGGAAGAGAAAAAAGGCAAAACCTGAACGAGGGCGGAGACGGCGGAGTGGTCACCGTGGCAATCACCGGGCTCCATATTGAGATAAGCGGTGGCGCGGCGTGAGAAGTCGCCAGCTGCATCGACGGCAAGGACCTCGGCGGGTTTGGTGCCCTGGGCGTAGAGGAAGCCCTCGCCGGCGACTTTTCCGGTTTTGGAGGCGATGACGCACCCGAAGTTTGGGTGGGGAGAGGTGAATCCGGCGGATCTGTCGGCCAGCTCGGCAGCGCGCCGGATGTGGGCGGCATCGAGCGCGTGGTTGCCGAGTAAATTGTTGTTGTTACTGCTGGTATTGTGTGTGGCGGCGCCGCCACCGCAGTAGAGTCTCATAGGTGGGAAGGATAACGCCGCCATTGGATGCATAGATAGAGGACCATAGGCGATATTCACCGCTGAGTCTTCCTCCTCTCATATACCTAAAGCGGCGGAAACTAACTAGCAACGCACGATATGAAGCTTAATTTTACCGCGATAAAAATAAACTAATTCAGTTGGGTCTATTCAAATTTCATATTTCATATTTCATATTTACGGGTTAATCACATTTTATATCATAAGGTTTGGCATCATTTATAAATAAGTCACGGGGGTACAGCTTTTACATTTTATATCTAATCACGTGTTTTTTGCTAATAATATTGATGTCTAATTAGACGTTAAGTAATGATGTTGCATACATTAGCGGCCCTCATTTTAAGCAAATATTGACTCTCAATTTTATAGAAGTGACAAAAAAGTAAACTAGTAAATATTATAGCATCGTGCCAAGACATAAAAGAAAATGCATCCAATTATTTTATAATGTAATTAATATCCTCGTAACGACGTAGTCATCATCATCAAACATTCAACAGGCACACCAAGCTTAAGTAGGTTTATAGAATATTTATGAGTTTGATCGTCTCCGAGTACAGATAGATTTGACAGTGGCAGCGGATGCAACAGCTATTCCTCCTCTTCTGCCTCCTCCAGCCAGTTCACGAATGGCTCCAGGGCCTTCACAAAAGTTTGCCTGCAAACATTCATTTTCCGTAAACTTACAGTTTCAAACAACACAACAAACCCATTGTAAACCACAAGCAAACGCATTCAATATCGTCATCCGATATTTTAATGTTCAAACCTAAACACACCTGCCCTTGGGGTTTGTTCCTTTGCGGAACCATAGGAGAATGGTGTCTTCTGCAAGCACATCCTGTTCGTAGAGGGATCTCACAATTTCAGGGAACAGCTTCATCAGCTTAGCATCCTCATAGCACTGCATCTGAACCTTGTATATCAGTTCCAGCTCAAGCTTCCCATTCGTGCAGAAGGTGTTCAACAGTTTCGCCCATGTTTGCACCTGCATATGTATTCGATACAAGTTAAACACAGCCATTTACTTGCTCGTCTGTATTAATATATATGCACTTAGTACTACGGTGTTAGCACCTAATACAGCCATTCTTCGTGTTTTTCAAGTTTACAGTGATCTAATATCTCAAAGTGATCAATTTTGACGATGGTGTGTGAAAAAGGCACAGCCTTAGATCTCATATACACCAGATTGGAATGCTTATAAATATACTCCTCTAGGTAGAACAGTCATTCACTATCCTACATGAACAACAGATAGCTCTGTTTTTTTATTTCTTTTTAAAGTTTTACCAACTGAACTCATCTTGGTTACCCACTTAAAACTCCTACCTTGCTCCTTTTACGAGTTCCAAACCTGACTTGTACATACTATAGCACACAAATTATATAGGTATCATGGTGATTACAAGACTAATGTATACCTGGCGAAGAGCTGCATTGGCGTTCTGCTGCTGGTTCTTGCCAGACCACTGCACAGCATCCATAATAACATCCCACAAAATCCGCACAACTTCAACATCAGGCAATTTGGCGTCTTTGACACACTGCTTCACAGTCTCAATGACTTCAGACATATCTGTTTCCTCTGTTATCTGGGTTGTTAAAGCAGATTTCATTTCCTTGAGCTTCACATCGAAAATTTTCTTCTCGTTGTATTCAACTAAGGCGACTAGCCCTTCCTTACTGAAAATTGATACAAATAAGCACCAAAGTGTGTCAATAAAACAACCTTTATTTTGGTACAAGGTGTGAATAAAACAAAATGAATGTTCAAGTTAACACATACTTCACATGAAAGCCATCAATGAGCAATTGACAATAAAAAAATCACATTACCATTTACGGTACGATGTATTATCATGGGGTGACAAACCAAAGGGACTACTAGGTAAAAATACTTCACAGCATAATCAAAATTCATATTACAATTGACTGATGATAAAGACTACACGAAAATCAACTAAATTTATATGATTCATAGCCTTCTACGAGAGAACCAAAAGCTCTGAAATATTTTTCAGAGATCATACAGAAAGATGAATCAACAATACAACAAAAGCATCGGCATATCTTAAAAATCAAAGATAAGTCTTATCTCTCAAGATGATCCATAATAAAATTCAATAACAGATCAAACTTACGTGAAATGCTCAGAGAAACTCTCATCAGTTCTTTTTGTGGATGGGAAGAATTCCAAAAGATTGTCTTCCACTTTACCCCGCTTCAGAATGGAGATCAAATCATCAAGGCTATTATCAATCAAATACTCCTTGAAGAAGTCAGTAATGAACAATAGGACTAGCCCTTTGCCAACAAGATTATCCTTGAGCATTGGCTGGAACACCGTTTCCGGTGGAAGTCCTGACAGCTTCTGAGAGAATGCAAGTGCTGTGAAAATAGCCAGCTTCTTCCTTTCATTTTCCTCAAAAAGCTCCAATGATTGAAGGAAACGTCGCATAACATTTTCGAGATTCTTAATCAGAAACGGCCTCCGCCTCAAAATTTTTTGAATGTAGATAACAGATGGCAAGATGAGTTCGCGTGTAGGCTCAGACTCTAGTACAGAATAAGGGTGGCGCTCCCCCTCATCAGGTTTTGTTGTTCCAGGTTGTGTACGGCCTCCAGTGAAAACAACCTATATTAATCCTCCAGTCAATACCATACCACATTAAAAACAAAACAATATCTAAGGTTGCATCCAAAGGAAAAAAATAAAGAGACCAAAAGTCTCTACATTATTACGAAGCTTGCCTCAAAAAAGGTGTCACCGTATCTTGAAAAGTTAAGGTCTGAAGATTCAATGCTCTTGGCAATAAGTTCCTGCACAAAGCAGATACTTGTTTAGTTTTAACAGATGATTAAGTGATAAGTAGACACATGCATACAGATACAAATTAGCCGATCATTTATGCACAGCTAAATATTACCAGATCACCAGCATTATCCAGATAAATCTGGACCACTGCATCCGCAAAAGCTGCAGTGTCCAGCGGTGCTGCAATATTCCGTTTGCGGGTCTTAATCCGCGTGCCACTGTACATAAAGGAGAAACAAAGGAAAACAAAATTCAGTATACAGGGCTAAACAATTCATACTAATGGGTGTGGAAAACCTACAGTATGCAAAGATGAGCAGATAAACATTGTCCAAAATATACTTTCTTTGTTAGATTTCAAAAATTCATTATAACCTCAAATAATTACAATGTCAGCATTATCAATTCCATATAATTGAGTAAAGCCTGATGCAACAACTCATTTTACCGTCTTTACAAAAGGACAAAAGGTCATAGGTTATAACTAATTAAAATTGATAAAAGTTCCTTCCTCAACAAACCATATAGTTATCAGTTAGAGAAACCTTGACTCTGAAACGTAAGAAAAACATGAAAGCATATGCAAAATACACAGAGGGTAAATCCGATGAGACAGAATATGACAAAGACTTGCCCGAGAGTGGGTCTCTCCTTCGAGCTGCAGGTACAGAAAATCTCAATTAGTATACATCTAATGGTTATATTTAGCTATAACTTTTAACGTTCACAACATAAATAAGTTAAATAAGAAGACCAATGGTGAAGACCCTTCAAAAATTATAATTTAAGTTCTGGATAAAGGCGAAAGTGCAAAACCCAACTCTAAAAGTTTTAGTTTTACCTGACCCCCACCCAAGAAAAGGAAAAGATTTACAATTGCACTACAATTAACATCCTAATTCAAATTCCCACCACAAGAAACTGGATCGAAACGAAAAAGAATCAGAATAACAAGAAATACCTTCACAAATATCCTGTATTTAGCTACAATTAAATTTCAAAGAACTAAACGTCACTAACTTGGATTAATTCCAGAAAAGGCCCAACTAATAATTAAGTAAATCTAATGAAATAAATGGAAAAAAGAGAGCCATAGAAAAGATTGCGCAAAACCCACCAAGAAATTCCAACCTAGTAAAGAATCCAATCAAAGAAGCAAAATTTCCATGAAAAAAAACACTTGAAAAAGCCCGATTTTTAGGTAAAGAACCAGATCTGTGACCCATAACATATAAACTTTAAGATAAGATTTTAACCTAAAACGCAGAGATCACACTGTAGAAGTGGAACGGAAAGATCGATAGAGAGAGAGAGAGAGAGAGAGAAGGTACCTCATAAACCAAGACGAAAAGGGATCGGAGGCAGACTCGGAGCGTCGAGAGTTTTTTTTCGAAGAGAGAGAGATTAGAGAGAGAAGGGGGAAAGAGATGTGGGAAGAGGGGTGATGTGGGTGGGTTTGGACGCTGATATTTATTAAGAGAGAGAGAGAGAGAAAGAGAGAGCGAAGGAGGGAAAGGACTCGAAACAGAAACAAAAACAAAAGTAAATAAACCACAAGACCCTACGTTTAGAAAACTAAAAGAAATAGTTTGAAAATTTTAAATTTTAATAGTTAGTATAAAATAAATAGTATTATAATTGATTTTTTTCGTGTATAAATATGATTTTTTGTTAATTTAAATAGTACCGAAAACTTTTCGTTAAAATTCCTTAATTTTTTTAGCCAACGTTACAACGCAGTTAAATTACACTACAAAAACAAAAACAAAAATGTGTAAAAATCCTTTTTATGGCAAATTTGTTTTGTTTGGTTTTTTTTTCTTGGGTCCTATGCTATTGTTTATGTGGTTTAACCCTCCCTACAAGGTAAAAGGACATCTTTTCGGTCGAACTACAAGTGTATAAATAATGTAGTTCGTTTTCGGGTATAGTCATGTTTTGAAAGAGAGGATTTATGCAATTCTCTTGTTGGAGTCGGTAAACTCTCGTTTTATCTCTATTTTAAAAAAATTCTACAAACATAACCGCGTATACGATGTACTCTTTTAATGAAAATCCTTCTTTTTACCTTTTTAACCCTATCACAAATCAACATCCTCAACTTTGATTATTGTAATTTTGATTAAGAATCCAATAGTTAAAAAATTCGTCATGTGAAACATGACATGGAAGAATGGGACGGCAAGGGGCAAAAACAAAGGCCCTTAATCCGGGGCGATATGAATGGTAATGCATTTCT